CAGAGCGAGCGAGCGAGAGCAGCGAGATCGAGCCAAGCTTGGGGTGACAGACCTCGTCAGCACCACGCCACTGCCATTTTCGCGCCACCCATTTTCCCCGAGGTCTGCTGCTAGGCCTACCCCTACCCCTTTTCACACGGGGCGACAGGCACATTCTAGGCACGGAAGCGGTGTGTTGGTGTTGTGTGTGTGTGTGTGTGTGTGGTGTGTGTGTGTGTGTGTGTGACGGGGGGAGGTACACAGCGGCCATAACGCACCAGCCCCCATAGTAACGACCCCCTGTCGGCGCTGCCGCCGCGCCCCCTTGGGACGGTGACAGCGTGACAACGCGGCGGCGGCGACGACGCTGACAACACGCCGAGTTATCACGCGGACACGGCCAGCCCCGCTGTTCATCACCGTCCTGGCCGCGATAAGGCGAGGACTGCCCCGTCGTGCAGCGCGGGGAGGAGGCGGCGGCGGCGACGGCGACGCCTTGCAGACGACCGATTCCGCGCACCGTCTCTCTCGCACCGCTCCCGCCCCTTCGAGTGCGAGAGAGAGACAGAGCGACGACACCACGGTTCGGAATCGCGGGCCGGCCGCGGCGATGGCGGCCACGTCGTTTGATCCGCGGCCCCGCTTGCTCCGCCGCGGTGTTTTCAGCGCCGTGTCTCTCTCGCACCTGCAGGGGCCGCCATGAGTGCGAGGGAGACAGGGCGGCGAAAACAACCCCGGAATCAGTCTGCTGAACTCGGGGCAAGCGCGCAGGGCCGCCCTACACGCCGTGTCGGGGGGCGGCGGCGCGGCCGGGCGAAGCGGCCCCATCGGCGATTGGATAGCCGACAACACGCCCACTTGGCTTGGGCCTGGCTTGGCTAGCACGGTGCGGTGCGTCCACCACAGCACGGGAGGAGTGACCTCCGCCTCCTCGCCTCGCCTCCCCTCCTCGTTGTGTCCGCGACCCGCGGCCACGGCGCTATCAATACGGCCGACCCGACCGCGGACGCGCGGAACGGAAGGGCTGCGGGCAAAGCAAAGCCCTGCCCGCACCGCGCCGCACTGGAACGGCAAACGGGGCGTCGCTATTCGGGGAGCAGGCCGAGCAGGCCGGGCAGGCGACCGCAGAGGCTTTGCACCGCGACATGCACGCACGCGGTGCGCACGCGGCGCACGCCCAGTACACTGTCGCGCACCCCGACACTCATTTTCCCCAAACAGCGCCGCGGGCGGCCTGAGGCGGCCTGAGGCGCGTGCCGCCAGGGTGCTGCCGCAGATTGGCTGTGTGAACACCCGAACACCCTCCCCTGCCGGTTGCCGGCCGGGTCGGATATCGGATCGCATTACACGTCAGTGACTGCGCCGTCGGCACGGCGGCACGGCGGCACGGCCTTGGCGGCCTTGGGGCAGGTCAAGCAACGCGGCACGGCGCGGCGCGTTCTCTCTGTCGCCGAGCCGCACCGATTACATATACGCGTCGACGTGGCCGAGGCTGGCTGCGAGGCTAGCCGCGTCCACGATGTCCGTAACACTGTATCACCGAACCGCTGCCGAGGCTCACGCCAATCCAGCACCCGGAGAGGCGCGTACACTGGCGACGTGGCCATCTCCGGGCGGACGGGACGGCCAGTTCGTAGTGCTGCCCGGGGAGAATCTACCTGGCGGCGACCTGCGACCCCAACGGGTGGACGGGTCCAGGAGGAGGAGGCTTGGGCATTCAAGCATGCTCCTCCTCGATATTGCCCTAATTCCAACGTCGCAGCCTCGCCGCACGCCCCGCCCCGCCCCGCCCCGCCCCTCGTGACCACCCGGCCGCGTGCAATCGCCCCCGCCCACAGCCCCAATCAGAGGGCACCTGGTGCGCGCCCCGCCTGCCTGCCTCGGCAGCCCCGCCAGCCCCGCCAGCCCCGCCAGCCCACCAGGTAATCTCGGATGCAAACAAAAAACCAATTCCCCCTCCCCCTTTCGTTTCGTTTCGTGCGCGATGCGAGAAGGGTTTGGCGTGAGGAGGGCAGAGCGGAGCAGCGGCCCGCCCTTGGCCTGCCTCGGAGCGCCTCGGCGAGGTGGTTGAACACCGTGCAGCCGTGAGCTAGGCCGTAGGCTGCAGGACGCGCGGGCCGACAGGCACGCCGACGGGGCGTGGCACGACACACAGCACGCACGAACAGCCAGCAGCGAGCAGCCAGCAAATTGCAGGCCGGGGTGTTCCCTCCTCACTCGGTCTCTCTCGCACCCCTCGCGGCCTGGCGGCCTGGCGGCACGCCTCGCGAGTGCGAGAGAGACAGAGCTGATGCGGTCCGCGCCGCCCTTCCTCGCCCTTCAGCGCGACTCGCTGCCGCGCCCCGAACACCCCGACGACGACAACCTCGCCCTTTGCGCCCTTTGCACCGCTCCACGGCCGAGCGGGCTCTGTCTCCCTCGCACGTTCACTGGACGCCCCATGAGTGGGAGGGAGACAGTGCGAGGCAGACAGCGTCCTTCCGGCCGGACCGGACCGGCTCCCCGCTGATTGATGGCCGATCCCCTCCCCGCTCCGAAGGGGACGCCGCCTTGTCCGAGGGCCACTGCACTTTGCGCCCTAAACACTCCCAAAAGGGCCGACGGGCCAAAGGGCGCGCCGCAAGGGAGGGGCGCGTCGAGTTCATTCGCACCGGCCTTGCGTCGCATGCGGTGCAGACACGCCACGTTTGCGTCTCATTCCCAAGCAGCGCGTCGACAGCGTTCGAACCCGGGACTAGGCGAGTCAAAGACCGCGGGAGGGTTTTGTCGCTCTGTCTCTCTCGCCCTCGCGGGGCGTCGCGTAGGGGTGCGAGAGAGACAGGGCGACGAGAGCCCCTTCGAGTCGGCCAGCGGGAGCAGAGCAGGGTGCCGCAGGTGCGGCCACTCGACGCCTCGCAAAGGGCCTCCGCGCCACGCCGCGCCCGGAGATGCTCACCTACCGCCTTTTTACGACCGGCAGAGCGAGCGGCCCGGCGGAGCAGTGCCGGTGAAAGGCAGGGGAAAGGGGGCGCAAGTGCGCTGCAGTTGTTTGCCGAAGCCAGAGCCAGCCCCCAGGCGGCCAGTCCGCCAGTCCGCGGCGCCTGCCTCGCCTGCCGTGCCGTGCCGTGCCGTGGCGGGGCGTTCACTTTGCGGCGGTTCACGAGGCGAGGCAACGAGGCAACGCCACCGCCGGCCTCCACTTCGCCAAGCTCCGCCGCCCCCTAGAGGTATATAAGGCCCCCGGGAGCGTAGGGCTCGTGACGCCACACACACACACACAAACACACACACAGGCCACACAAGTTACTTTTCCCTGCCGCCCCAATCTCTTAAGACTTGTTTACGGCGCTGAAATGCGACCCCACCCCACATAGCAGCCCGCGGACACGGCCGACACGGCCCAGGGGGTGTTGGTTGTTGGCGCAGCAGCGAGGCTGTGCTCGCGGCTCGCGGGGGAGGGTGCAGGGACAAGGAAAACACGGAGAGTTCACAAGCAAGTAATGGCAGCCTCCATAAAACAGGGAGTTCGAAATATTGGAGGGAACGGCCTGCGAGCCCGGCATCGGCCAAACCGCGGACTCCCTCCGCTCCACCCGGAACGAGGTCGGCACGGAGCGGCACGGCGCGGCGCGGCACGGCACGCCCCACCGCATCGCATGGCCATTGGCGGCGACTGCAGCCGGAAACACCTCGGGCGGCGCGGTGAGCAGGGCGCAGGGCGTCGGGGGCCCGACGCCTCCCAGTCCCTACGCCCTACACTACAAGGAGGGCGCAAGGAGCGACCCTTCTCCAGCGAGAGCGTGCCGCGGTGCCGCGCGGTGCGACGTCCGGCCGCCCCCACGCCCACCTCGACGTCGACGTCGCTTCCTGGACTCGACGTCGCCCCGGAACGCTACCCATTTCAGGGAAATAAATTAGTGTGCGCGCGGCGGCGGTGGGCGGGGTGGGGCGAGGCGGGGTGGGGCTTGCTCGGTATCGCTTCCCGCCCCGCCGCGCGCCGCCACCTGAGCCCTGTGTCAACAGGAGTCCTGCCCTGGGCGCGATTGGAGGCATTTCATCACGTTCGACTCCCCCCGACTCCCCCACCCAGCCAACCCCCTGCGGTGGCGGTGCACGATTCCCTACACTGAGAAAAGTCGCAGCCTGAAATCCGTGCGGCGGATGCTGCGCCGTCCTCTCGGCCGTTTCCCACAGGAGCAGAGGATGGTCCTTGGGCCTTCGCTTCGGACCTGTTGGCGTGGCCGCGGAGGCCACCGACGCGTCGCGACGCGCACCTTGCGACAGGCGGCCCTACTTGACACGGTTTGCCCAACGCCCCGCCCTTCCCCGCCCCGTGGCGACAGCCGCGGCCACCGCGCGCCCAATCAGCGCAAAAAGTGCCCCCGCAGCGACAAGCTCAAAGCCCCCCAGTGTCTCTGTCCAGCGGCTGTCCAGCGCGCGGCGCGTCGCCCGGCCACGACAACAATCATTCCCCCAGTTCTCGGTTCCCGCAGAGCGACGAGTTTCACGTTTATTGTCCCGCCTTGAGGTGCGCAGCGCGAGGGCCAGTGGACGCGGACGCGAGCGCGCTGTGCTGCGCTGTGCTGCGCTGTGAGTACAGTGTGCCGTGCGGCGCGGACGGCCAGGACGGCCAGGCGCACTGGCCTGGGGGATGTGGAGGGACGGCCTTATCTCGCTCAATTCATTATCGTCACCTTTGCGTGAGGTGTCGTAGGTGCGGCCAGCGCCAGCGCTAGCGCCCCGGCGGGCCAGGCCGGACCCTTCAGCCCTCGCAGCCCTGCGCTTTGTTTTACTGCCGCAGGGTCGCGCGCCGTAAGGGCCGCGGGGCCGCCAGCCCTAGGGCCATAAGGGCCCCAGCAAGGGCCCAAGCAAGGACCCCAGCGAGGGCCGCGGGGCCGCACATTCCAGGCAAAAGGGTGGAGAGTGTGCCGTAAAAGTGACAGGTGCCCCAGGCAGGGAACACGCCAGGTTTTGGGGGGACAAGCGGTGTGGAGGACCCTGGTCTGGTAGGAGGTTGAATGCGGGCTCCAACAGCAGCCTACCTTTCTATCTTGTCCAGAGTGTTGGGGTGGTGCAGGATGGTCTGCTGGCTGTCCATCTCGACAACACATTCTGTTCCGAGTTCGAGTTCTGCAAAGCAGCACAATATGTTAGGGCCAAGATTTAAATAAAAAATGCAGGGTACACAGAAAATTAAATAAATTTTTTTTCTTGTATCTGGAGGGTATTAAAATCAGAACTTTGACAATTCAATTTTTTTTTTAAATCTTAGAAGTTGTAGAAGGGACAAAAAAATTTCATTTACAAATTTACGAATGGGCTTTAATGAAGGGAAAACAATGAGACAAAAATACAAAATGCAAATGTTAAAAAATACTGTGAATGAGAGCCAAAAATTTACAAAATTAGTTCGGCAAGGATTCGGCACAAAGTGCAAAGAACTAGAGTAAATTTTGACATGACAGAAATGACATTTCACAAAGTTTTACATCTTTTCCTGTAAAATTATTATGACATGACAGCCATAATAGACTGTGCTGGTTTTCACATTGACACATTAAGATGACAAGAAAATTCTGGGTAAATAAACAGGTTCATAGTAAAATAATTGTTACCTCTTCTGTTAAATGGACGGACCCGCACCGCCACTTTTATTTTATCCGTCGCCATTGCTGCGCGCTTTACGTGAAGACTATGGCGCAATTAAACTACACGCACTTGCATAGTACCAATTCATTTAACACGCCACCCAACCTTCAACCCATTATAAACCGCACGCAAATCATTATTTTCGGGGAACACGACACTCGCGACAACAGACGTCCACCATTTGCAATTCACTAAACATGACTGAGCTACGTCACGGGGTCTGTTCCTGTGCGCGTCGCGCGTGCGCCTTTGAAGCAGGTGGCGCTTGGCGGTCAAACGGCGCCCGAAGTGGACTGTTCGTTGTTCGCAGCACCGCTAGATGGCAGCACATCCCGGCAGCACGACTGCGAATAACGTGCACGCGCATTGGCGGGCTTATTGAGTGCGTTTCAAACTGCGGTACCTCTGTTCCGTTTGATTTCATTTTGCGGTTTATGGAGTAACAGCAAAATCGCAGCCGTATCGTCTTGGGCGCCTCTCATTTACCTCAAGAGGATCAAGTTGTGTGGTTCAGATGAAGGGGACACGAAATAAAAATGAACTGTTTAAGGTGAAAAGGGACATGGCTTGCGCCGTGCCGAATATTTATTTTGTTTTTGTTTTTTTCCTTTCCTCCACATCAGTCGGTAGTCAAAGACACAAGGGTTACAATAATGATATCCATGGTCTCTTAGGTAAATGGATTTTGGGTGAAAAGGAATATTGGCACTTAAAGATTTGTCAGTTGAGACGAGATAAGATGAGATGAGATTTAGAAAAGAATGATTTTGATGTCAATAAATAAAACTAAATACATAATACAGGAGATAGAACACTCACACCCATCTTATCTAGAGCTGTCAAGCTCAAACACCATAATAGCAATACTTCCGCACAGAAAGAAGAAACTCTGAACTCTTCTTCTTAAAACAGAAGATTTAACTCTATTGAAAAATAAAGAAATATAAAGAATCATCAAAGTAAATAAACAAATTAAAAATTTTTAACAGTAACAAATATAGGGATAATTCTTAGAGCTAAGTCCTTCTTTCTGTGGCAAGAGTATCACTTCCAACGTTCAATATAATAATGACCTTACAATGAAATAGAAAAGAAAGTACTTTGCACAATCTCACACACACTCAAATACACACCATGTCACAGACACGCATAACACACAATAAGAAACGAAGATTTGAGATCTTACCTTTGGAAGGAATTTTTTTTTTGTTTAAACACGCGTTATATAACTTTTTTTGTACTTTATCACTAATAAAGGCAGATGCAACCTTTCCAAACAGCTCGAAGTGGTCCTCCAAGTCGACAATTTACAATAGTAAGTCAAGTTACACCCTGCACTTTAAGTCGTACAATGGCTTCAGGAACAGTCAAAGACTCATTGTGCCTTTCTCAACCAGTGATGGGGCATGGGACAAGTACACAGTAGCTATATGACCGAGAAGCCTTCAATTTGACCCATCTGGTCAGAACTGGGCAATGATAAATGAGGCTAACTTAACACAAGATGACTAGCAATACACTGGCTGCATAAATATATAAGAAAGTGTTTAACACAACAAATCCGTGCAAGTGTGGCCTCTGAACTGCCTCCATACCAGAGGTCAGGCGCATTACAAAACTTCCAGAACGGACAACTTTCTGAAAACAACAGTGCATACAATTATACTCGTAAATTACCTCTCTTCCTCAATAGCAGGGTCAGGAAAGAGCAGTGTTAGAACTGATCACAAAATGCATTGCTTAGGCCTATCTTACAACTAGTTATTTTTTTAATACTTATAGATTTTTAACATTTATAATTTTTATTTGATTTTTATGCTGTGGTAACATGATTTGAAGCAGCTTGAACTGTGGAAAGATGAAGCAACATGAAAGAACCCACGTTACCTTACAACAAGTAACAATTCTCTTCCACAACCCACAGATAATTAAAAGTGATTTCAGTTCATTGTTCTCTATAATTGACCGTCAGTGCAACATAAATAAGCTTAATAACTAGGATTCTAACTAAGCGCAGCTCTGTCAGAAAAATTTATAAAAAGGCATTTAAAGAGAATGTTACCACAACAGCTTTTCCAATGGTTAACACATAAATGCTTATCATTGTAAGAGTGTCCTGATAAAATGCAGATTAATCAAGCCAATCAGCAGCAGTAAAGTTATGGACAATTGTGTACCTTTAACTTTAAGGCAAAACCATCAATACAAATAAAACATTTTTTGTGCTGTCATTGGTATAAATAAGGCGGTCATGAGTTAAAATAAAATTGATATGAATATTACAGAGAATTAGGCGATCGAAAGTGAGAAGCTGGTGGGTAGTGCACATGGGTATGACAGGCCCATTCAATCAAGTATGAATGAACGTCATTCCTCATGATACATGGGTGGCTGAATTTTATACCAGTGCATCTGTTCAGCTTTGTCACCACTAACTTTCCTGTTACAGGGCTCTTCCTTCTCAGATTCTGAACTCTCTTCAGAGCTTACACTTCCCGATCTGAAATTAAAGTAAACAAATTAAAACACATTCCAATGGGAACAGTCAAATAAAAGAAATATTAGAGAATAGATTTACCTTGGCCGTGATTCAGAAACAGTGAATTGCTTGTGCTCCTCAATAGTCGGTAGTTGAGCTGCAAGACGGTCAATGGGGCGAAGAAGGCGTCGGGTGCGATGAGACAACTTCCACACAAGGCGCTGGCGATGAGGCATCTGAGCTTGCGCATTGTACTTGGACATCACTTCATTAACAGCCTCAAGACAGATGGAAAATGAAGCAGCAGAAATCTGTGAAAATGAACTTTCGGTTAGGAAAACTGCAGAGGAAAGATAGGTATGAAATGAAGTCTGGAGTCTTGAGCAAAGGCCTACCTGTGACACTTTCTGAAGGCAGACAGCAAAAGATACAAGCTGCACAAGCTGAGCACATAATGCAGGATCAGCCTGATCGCCCAAAGCTTCCACTCCTGCTTGGAGTTGTGTGCACAGAAGTACAAGTGCAATGACACTGGGCCTAAATACTGAACACTTGGAATCGCAGACAACAATTTCTAGTCGCTGCCAAATATCTGGACCCTGAGCACCAGCTGCAAGTGTCTTTTGGAAAAGGACACCCATGTCTGCAAAGATAAGATATAATAAATAAATGACAAACCAATGAGAATGAGGCATAATAATGCAAGTCAGAAGTGATTTTTGACTTACCAGATGAAAGGAAGAGAGAATGGTACAGTCGCAGGAAACTTAAAGGTGTTGCTGGTAATCCACTAGCAGATACACGGTTGACATCAAGCTTTAGTGCTATGATGCTTTCCATCCGCTGCAAGTCCCCAGATGTGCACTTAGATTGTGAAATCAATGCCAAGTCTCGTAAATCAGTCTCGGGACAGCCTCCATGAAGAGCCACTTGCTGAACAGCCAGTGAGAAGCTGCTCACTGACACACAAGCCATGTGTTTGGCTTGAATCTAAAATCAAAATCGACCCATTAGAAACATTGGACAAGCAAATAGAATACCATTAACACTAATACTAAACTAGATAACATACCTTCATCTTTGAGAGGAACCTGTCCATGTAGTTGATAGCTGTGAAGAGCACATCGGAAGGCAAGTCGTACCAAACCTTGAGGCAGCGCAGAACATGAGCAGAGCCATCACGAATTCCGTCGGTGATGCAATTCTTATCCTAAAAGTCAAGAAAGGAACCAGACTTAGAAAAAGCACAAATTGTACTCAAATGGCTCGAGTTATAATAGGAAACTGAGATACTTACATTTCCTGAACTGGGGAGTTGCAGGTTTGCCACAAATTGGTCTTCCATAGCGATGGCTTCTTCAAGTTGTTTCAGAGCAGGCAGCATAGCTTCAGACAAATTTTGCTCCATTGTTGCGATGTCAAAAGTGTCAACAAATTGAGTAAAATCTTGAGTCTGGGCTGGGATGCTGTTGGGCTGGACAAAGTCCATTCTTGAGATGTCACCCTCAGAGACTCCCGTCACACCGCAAGAATGGGCCATGTTTAGGCCTTTAACCTGCAAGGAAACGAAAACATCAGAATGAAAAACCAATCAACACTTCTACCTATGAACTAAACACATGAACAGAAGAATGAAGTTTTAATAAACTTCCAAATTTAGGGAAATTTGAGAACTAAGCTAGGGGCCCATTGAAAATGTTCTGATGCAATTGAATAATGAGAACAAGATGCAAGTTACATTGGTTCATTGGCTCCTAAACATCAGACTCTAGAAAGATCATAACAAAATGGTCAGAAGCTTTTAAAGGTCCCAAACATTTAAAAAAAAATCACACAAAGAAAGCATAGCCTCCTCAATCCAATCACACACCGAATTCCCAGGAATCATTTAGGCTCCATTTCAAACTGACGCCAGTCTAGTGTCCAACTTCCACTGGTGATTTGAACTCAGTTTGAACTGAGCGTCAGCGTCAGCTGATACGGAACACAAAATTCTAACGGACATCGGGGGTTGACTGGGCGCCAAAAAAATAGTCCGCACCGCCGGCCGCAGTATCAGTTTTATCTGCCGCTCGCACCGAAAAGCAAAACATTCGAGTCCCTCCAAATAATTTAAACAATCACGCGAACCCTAGAGTCGACATTTACACCATTTATAATGACGGAAATGACAGAACGGGGGTGATGTCATTCACACATAAAGGACACTTGAGGATGCTATGACCAACAATCGATCTGAGGGCACAGCACACAAAGAGAATGACATCAGAAATTCAACGAAAAATCGACGAAGTTGTACGTGCATCTTCGAGCACCACGAAAAATAACCATTCACTGATGATTCACACAGAATAGAGTCGAATGTTTGACTTGGTGGGGGTTCGGTGTGAAATGGTTTAGGCCATAGCTCAGAGGCCGAGACAACATTTCTTAGAGAATTACTGAATCTCCCAGATGTAAAGCGGTTGACGCGAGATGCGAATAATGCAGGAGTCGAGATCCTACTTTTAAGATTTGGTTAACCATGGAGAAAGTTACTGGCTGGCCTTGTTCGACAATGAGCGAGCGGGGCAACGGGATCTGACGCAATAGCCATGACTAGTCCAAACTTCAAACCCAAATGAGGAGATGGCCCGAGGAACCACAATAAAACAGGAACGGCGAACAAAACTACGACATCATCCTAACGTTGCGCAAATTCATTAATTTCAGAAAGCGGGACCACAAGCAACGGAGAAGCCCAAACGATCTAGGACGGGGAAGAAGGGGGCCCCATTTCAACGTCCCAAACAAACGGAGCTTTTCGGAGTTTAAACCTCGAGGAAAACGGGCAGAACAGAGGTTTTTTTCGAACGTCAGAAAGAGGCAACTCACTCTTGTTATCGAATTGATAGGAAGAGGTAAACCATGACTAGCACAGTGATGGGCGGTCCATGGTGCTTCGTGAGTGATGTTTGGTTGACTACTGAAAGGAGGATCCGATCTCCCAGCCCCCAGCCCAGCAGAGGCACAGGCACATAAACAATGGTCTGGCACACTGGCACGGCGGAAGGCTACACTCCACGATGGAACAGGGGACTTCTTTCGGCCGCGGTCGGAAAGACCAACCCACCAGCGAACAGTGTCTTACCTCATTCGAATTGAACAAACCAATTTCACGCTAAATTTTTAATTCCTTAATTTTAAGTCTCAATTTAATCAAATAGAAGATAAAATACTAACTTTAAAAAGTTTGAAACCGCAGACGTTCTGAGTAAACTGTCTAACTGTTTTCACTCGCTTAGGTTGGCTAAGCTGCTCGTGAACGTAAACTCGTTTCAGACGACGAATGAAATTGACGGGTTATGTTTGCAAAGTGTTCAGGGACCTAATTTGTCAAACAGACAATGATCTCAAATAGTTAGAATTTATACAGTTAGAGCTTTAAAAAAGGCATGACATAGCATAGAAAACATCACACCGATTTCAAGCGGGTGTCTGGGAAGAACAAAGGAAGAATGTCTCATCGAAAAGGGTCGAAGCCGATGCTTGGAGGTTAGTACGATCCACGACATCGCTCCTTTTAACTTCGCAGTTTTCATCCATATAGATAACTTGTGTTACTTAACTAACGGACTCACTTACATTATTCTCTGTCAGTTAATAACAAGATAAGTGTATTAATAATCTTAGACACTCAGGAAAGCCCAGTCTACGAGAAGTGCACAATGTCTAGGTTTCCTAAATAATTTGCAGACATGAACTTTAAAATGTTCAGGTTCTTCAGTCCTTCACTTTCCAATACAGTAATTTTTTCTTATCGCATTGGTACATTAAACATGGTTGAGATTGTTAGGAAAAGTCATTGGGGCACTTTGACTCAGAATCATTTAATTTGTTTCAAAGTGCACTAATCCTTTTTGATCTCACATCAACCATTAAGCTTCTAATGTTTTAACAAGACTCTGAACCAATCTAACCCTCACTCCACATGACATGGACCCCGTCAAATTTTAATCCAATGGCTACTGACAACGTGAAACTACTTGCTGTGAACCTTCTCAAGCTTTTATTCACAGGCTGCTTGAATCAAACTCACAATTTCAATTTTAACAACTACTTCAAGACTGGTGGCACTTACCTCAACTTCCACAACTTTTTTGCCGCCCCTATGCCGTCTCCTGGCTTGCCTTGAAACTCTGGGTTTGACCATGGTGGTTCTGTGTGGTTTAGCACTGTATCCAAATCCTGTGGGCACTTGCTGATTCCTCACTGACACTGATACAAACTCGCGAGCAAAGAAATGGTCAAACAGGACCGTCCTTTGCGGTGACAGCGCTTCGAATCCCGGACCCTCAGGTTGCCGGTGGCGATGTAAGGTCGGGTGCGGGGCCACGGACGTGTTGAATCTTGTCGCTGAAGCCGGCAGCCGGCACCGCGTCACGGCAGCGTGCTCGGGCCTGCCGGCGTGCCGGCGTGCCCGCTCCCCACCATGCAGGAATAGACTTGCGACGTGCGGCCGGCCGGAGGCTCTCTCTCGCACCCAGACGGGTCGGCCCGCGAGTGCGAGAGAGAGAGCGCTACGCCACCGGCGAGGAGCGAAACCGGCGAAGCCGCGGCATCTTCGGCGGCCGGCGGCCACCGGCTCGGCGCGTGGAAGCAGCGGGCGGGTTCGAGAAGCGAGGCGAAGCGGCGCGAAGCGTGGTGGAATGCTCAAGAAAGTGCGAGCGAGAGGGCGAGCGGGGGGGGGGGGGGGGGGACGGTGGTGACCGCGGTGCAGCTGCCGCACTGCAGCTGGGGCCGAGGCCGTTCCGTGACCCTCCCCGCCCCTTTCCCCTTTCGCTCGGCGAGCGCGACGGCGCGACGCGAGGCGCTAATTTGCCAGAAGGGGGCGGTCCCGGCGAGCCGCAGGGAGGGGTCGTTGTCTAGAGAGCCAAGTCTGCCAGTCACGAGCACCGACCGTGCGTTTATTGCACATAATATGACATAATAACTTGCGAACCAAGTCCCGCCAAATCTCGGAAGTCACATCCTCGCGTGAAGAGAGGAGGAGTAGCTCTGGCGACCCCGCCGGGCCCTTTCTCGCCCCGTCAGAAATTTGACAGTGGACCTCATGACCCTCCCTCAGGCGTGTTAACAGCCCTGGTTACACAAGGCCGATGGCCAGGTGAACCGATCGGCCGCGTGTAGGCCGTGCCAGGGCTGGACGGCTGGACTCGTAGACCAGAGGGACCAGAGGCGTGGGATGGCTGGGCCGTGTCGCATGACGCAAGCCAAGGACCCGGGCCCAAGGGCGGCCTGCGCCAGCCCGGGCAGGTGAGTGAACCCAACTCGCGGGGCCGCGCGCCACTGACAATGAGGCTGCAGCGCTGCAATCTCGGCCGGAAGCTGCCTCGGCTCGCTCTGTCTCTCTCGCACTCTTAGGGCGTCCCGTAAGAGTGGGAGAGAGAAAGCGTCAAAAGCAGTGCTGCACCGGAAATGCAGCCGCGGGCTTTGGCCGCTTGAGCCGCTTTGGCGACGCGGCGACCCGCGGCAGCGAGGCAGTGCACGCCCTCGGGTCGTGGCTCGCGGACATCGCGCATCGCGGTGGACCAGTCTCCGCGACCTTTGGCCGGCACGCCAGCTTGCGTTTCCTTGCTGCTTCCTTTCTCGCCGCGGAAGGCAGGAAATAACGCCAACGCATAAACAGATGATACGAGGTGTTTTCGCGCGCAAGGGTCGCAGTTGTCGCGAGGCCTAGTTCTGACAGGATGGTGCGGTGGGCATTCCCTCTAGGGTTCGAATCGCTTCTACGCGGCTAGACTTTTGCTCTCTATGGTGTACAAACGGGTACTAGTTCGGTAGTCGCCGGGCTGTCTGTAAACTTTGAACATATTCCCCGCGCTCTCGTCTATTTTTTGTCTTTCTTTTTGTGGGGGGAAGCCGCGCTGTGTTATCGCCCCCTCGTGATCTCGCGAGTACCACTACTGTATTTATTTGCCGTGACAAAACACTCTGCCTCCTTTATTTTCCCCTTGCGTGCATTTTATCTTGTTGTTTGGAAACATTTGCTTCTTCTTATCGCCCATCCTGGCCCAGGTGTGTACGCAGCAGCGAAGCCACGCACGGGGAAATCGGAAATGATGCTTGCTGTTTGTTGTGGAGGTTTGACGCGCGAGTAAAGACTTGAGACGTCCTGAAGTGCGTGGCGGTGTGGCGGTCTCGCGCGGGGAAAGTGCGCGGTGGCCGCTGCGGCAGCTGTGGCAGCTGGGCGGTTGGGTCCTCTTTTAGGATGGAGAAAGAGCAGCAGACGACATGACCGACTCGGCGCGTCGGGAGCGGCAGCGCGGCAAGGACATTCCAGGGAAGTCGGGGGGGGGGGGGGGGGGTCGAGAAATGCCTGAAATGTCGGGTCGCGGCTTCTTTCTTCCCTCTCTGTCGCTCTCATTGATTGGCCGCGTGGCTGGCCTTAGCCTTACCTGCCGCGCCCCCTCGCCGCCCTGCCACCGGAAGGGGCGGGTCGGTCTTTATCTCCCGGTAGCTCGTTGTGTCTGCTCGATAACAGCCTGGCTTTCCCGTGTCTCTGTCTCTCTCTCACTGTCTCACCGCGGTTGTCTCCCTCCGATACCTGTCGACTCTCGGCGCCATCTACCCGGCCGGCCGGCTGAGGCAGGCCAAGGTCAGTCGCTGCAACCGATAGTGCACCCACCGGCCGCCGGCCGGGTCGCCGCCGGTCCGGAGAGAAAGGGAAGGTGTTCTTTTTGGAAGGCTCGTGGACACAACTCCGCGTGGAGCCCGAGGTCTTGTCATGAGTCAATTTCCCTCCTCGAGTTGCCGTCCCTCTCGGATTGGCCGCGCGGTGCCGCGTCGCGCTGAGAGTCTGAAAGGCGGCGCGCGTTTCGAAATTCCCCGTTTCTTGGCAGCGCGGCGTGTTTTTGAAATGCACCCGTTTCAGCCGCTGTGGCGAGGCGGCGCCGCGGCGCCCCTCGGCATTTTATTTCGTTATTTTTCTTTTCTGCTGTGGCGATCGCCGAGTGGGACGCGGCGGCCCTTTTGGGTCACGGCTGCTCTATATACGCTGCGCCGCTGCGGGGTTGTGGTTCAACTCGGGCCGAAGGCTGCCGCCTCGCCTGGCCGCCGCGGACGGGCGGACGCACGCCCGGCCGGGGCAACGAACGGGCTCTCGTTGGTCATGGCGGCGTCTGCCGGCTGTCTCGGCCAAGCCCAGGCGCCGCGAAGCACGTCCAATGGACATCGTCGATACTCGACCTTTGCTCGTCGCGCAGGACTAATCTAGGAGTAGTGCTGCGTCGTGCGCTGCAGGGCTAGGGCCTTGCCCCGCTGTCGGGGCGGTTTCGGCCGAGGCATGGCCGTGGCTTCGGCCCTTGGACAGGGCCGGCAGGGCCCGGTCGTTTGCTATTTCAAGCCCCCTTGCGGGGAGGGGGTCGCCAATAAAGCAATTGACGAGCAGTAGAGGCCGGCCGGCCGCCTATTTGCAGCCACGGCGTTGCCACGGCACTGCCACGGCCGCGTCGTCGGTCAAGAATATAATCTGTCACGAGTGTGAGGATTCGTGAGTCTTCTCATTTACTCGGCCCGTTTTTTGCACGGTCCGTTGGTACCAGCTGTTTTCTGGCGTGCTCCCCGAACAGCGCGACCGAGCGACAGCGCGCCTGTAAACACGCACGGCGGCACGGCGCTGAGCTTGACCTCATCCCGATCCAACCCGAAGCCTTGCCGAAGCCTTGCCGAAGCCTTGCCGAAGCCTTGGCGTCCTGGCTCTGCGGGCGAGGGGGTGTGTCGGCGAGCGGCCAGCGGCCGGCCGCAAGGTAAAGGTGGCGTCCTCCTCGGTGGCGTCAGCGGGGTGAGTGTGTCACTCTGTGATGAGTTCACCGGGATGAATGCGGACCAGATAAGCGGCCGCGGCTACGCAATAAACCTGGCTCTCTCACACTGTGGGGCGGCCCCTAGGGGTGCGAGAGAGCGCCTCGGGGTTCCTCAACTGACGGCCTCCGTGCAGGCCGGTGTCATCGTCGCGTTGCCAGCAGGGCGATAGGGCGTGCCCATGCGCGGCGTGGGTGTTTCTCCGGGTATTTCCCTATTTCGGTCGCGGGCGTGACTCTTCGTCGGGACCGTGCCGCGCTGGTGGCGCTGACTCACCGCGCTCGCGGCACCTGCCCGAGGTACTACACCCCTATCTGGCGGCCCGGAGGCGCGCTGTGCCTGGCTGTGCCTTCTGGGAAGGTTTCTAATTGGTTCAAAGTAAAAGCGCGTGGCGAGGAGAGCGCCCATGGGAACGCATTTCGTAACGGCAACGCAACGTCCTCGCTTGCTTGCTCTCGCCGCGGCTGAACGGGCTGAGCCGGGCTGAGCTGCCTCCACGGGCCGGACCGACCAGCCGGACCGACCAGCCGGACCACGGCGTGCGTGCGGGGGCGGCCACCAGGCGACCGACTTCCTCGTCGTCCCCGTCGAGTGCGTCGTGCAGGTGTAGTGGGTGGTGCTGACTCCGCGCCGCGTCAGATGCCGCCGAGGCTAGCGTGTTGTTGGTTAGGGACGTTTGGAAACTGCGCGACCGACTCTCGACTCTATGTCGCTCCGGGAAGTGGCTCGAGGCAGTCGGGCGTGGTGTGGGCGGCCGACACCGGAGACCGTGCTGGCGATGCTGCGACGGCCGGGGCCGGTTTCAAAGTTTCAAATCGAGCGAGGCTACGGCGGCGCGCGGTGATGATGAAACTAGGAGAGTCGTCCGCAGCTCTCGGCCCGGCGTGCTCAGCTTGTTCTGCTGCTGCGCGGGAACGCATTGACACCCCGCACCGCCCACAGATACCCGCGGCACGCAGGGCACGCAGCGGACGGACAGACGGACAGTTGATGCGCAGGGCGGGCGGGCGGACGCAAGGGCCTGGTAGGACGGTAGGATGGCCCTTCTTATCGGAGGGCCTGATGGACTCTGAGCCCGGCCCTTGGCTCGGCCCTTGGCCCGCCCGGCGCCGAGTCCTGGCGGTCGGTGGACTTCCCCTGGCGGGCTATCGGCCCCCTTGCCCGCGTAAATGTGCCCGTCATTGAACGGTGCTGAAAAACAGTTCTCCGGCCGCAGATGAAGGAGGAGGCCGAGGCACTCGTCGGCGGGTAAATGACAAAGAGCGCGCTAGCTCTCTGAGGACGGCAGGGACGGGAGGCCGGGCTTGTTGTTGCGTAAGTGAGACGGAAGCAGATGGGCGCGACAGACCAGCAGGCCAGAAGGCCTAGCAGGCCTAGCAAACAACAGGGCCGGGTTATCCTGAGCGACGCGACGCGTAGCGCGGGCCGTCCTGCACTAGTCGAAGGCGTCCAATGAACTAGTATGTTCAGTTTTCTGGAAATTTCAAGGATGGTTGTTTCTATTGTTTTCTACTTTTTACTCTCATTAGCGCGGCTAATTTCTAGTTCCAATAATTT